ATATATTTCATTTTATTTCATTTCATATATACATATATATCCCTCCTATCACAGCCGGGATGTGGAGGCAGGAGCACTGGGGTGTCCAGGGCAGGGGGGGGCTATTATAAAATATGGGTCGCTAGTGGTGGTGTAGGGGGGCTGTTTCAGAAACAAACCATCAGTGGAGGGTGGAGGAACGAGGGCAGTGGGTAGGAGGTTGACTACAATACAATGACCTGCCAGTTCCCGGGATGATGGTAAACAAGGCAGCGTAATATACCACAGACCCTATTGGGGTGGCGACAATGCATTAAAAAAACTAGATGCTGTTGGAAGAACAATGTATTTCCCAGACGGCCTGTCACCCTCCCCACACTCCTCTACATTCTTTGTGTAACTTGTTTCAATGCAATCGGGCTCACCAGATGTGCATCTGCATCTGTCCTTCCACACGCTACCACCATGTGGCGCTGCTTCAACTTTGGTGCGATTTGTCTCAAAATGGAATCACTTCCAAATCTTCACATATACAATGTGTCTGCAAAGTCTGAGTGAAAGAGATCCGTCAATTACTTTCCGAGTTATTGCGCTAACAAGATAAGTACCGTCGGCGGCGGACCGGTTCTGAAACCTTCTATGTAATTCCCATCCGGGGAATAGAGTAACTCCTAAACAAAATCCTGAATATGAAAATGACATAGAGGGTCAGGGAGCAGGAGCCGAAAAACTGCAAAACTGCAAAGACCCATACAAGCCTCCTACCAATCAGCAAAGATGGCAGCTGAACAGGGGTTCTGTTCCTCCCATATCCACATGGGCTCCCCTCCCCTGCCTGGTTTACCTGGGCCCACGCAGGGCCATCAGCAGGGAAGGAACGATGACGCCAGCAGCAGGTGCCCATGTGCCCGTGCAGTGGCTGGCAAGCAGCGGTACCCTCGCCTTGCCTGGCACCGCCTTACAGCAGCCGGCCGATTCTCCACAGGAGTTTGTTCTGCACCTCTACGTCACCATAGTCAGAAGATCCACACTATATTATTATTTTTTGGAGCTTATAAGATGCTCCTACCTAAAACGACTGAAGTACCTCAAGGCTGTTTTTAGTCCATTTCATGCAGCAGGACATTTACTGAAATCAAGCTTGCAGCTCAAGGCTACAACATCAGGTCCCCAGGCAGTGTCAAGTTTCAGGCTTTATTGTCACATGCGTTCTTAGGAACACGGTGAGACTCTTGTGCCGCGGTTGCATGGGAGGGGACAGGTGCATGGTGAGACAATAGGGCAAACAGCAGAGCAATAGGGAACAAGACCATGCAAGACAAAAGACTGTGCAATGAAAGAAGTGACAATAAATATGCAATATAATAGCATTCATACATCAGATTCTTGAGCCAACAATGCTATTGGCAAAGTGCCGCTACCAATCATTCAGTGGGCTTTAGCTCCTCAAGCCCACCTCAGCCTGTGGTTAATGCAGAGACGCTCTGTAGCATTTCACACGGCTACACTTGCTTGAGTGCATCACACATGCTCATTCAGAGGCCCTCAGAGGCACCAAAGCTGCACAGCATTTGCAAGAAAATGCTGTTGTTTTTTTTTTTTTTTCTTTCAAACTCATCACATGCAGCTCCAACCTATGCTGGGACACCGTTCTTGAGACATAAGGGCTGAGTAAAAAAAAAAATACGGCCCTGATCGTGACCACGTTCCCTTTTCTGCCCCGGCATCCATTCTGATCTCCTCCTCCTGAGGACAACGCTATAGCAAAGGGTTGCCCAGGGTTACGGAACAGAGGCACTCCCACTGCTAGACAAAAGTGTCCCGCTAAACCACAAAGTACCTCCCCTTCATGTGGGACCCTGTTTGGGACTGACAGAATAGGGAATCGCAGATAGGCCTTTGAGAGGCAGAGAAAGCCGTCAGTAAGTGTCTCTAATTGCCCCGAAAGCAGCTGAAATCCCTGTTCTCCCGGCATCCCTTGAAGGATATAAAGAAGCAGGATCACTTAAAGCATTATTGCACGCTATCAATATTCCAGTATCTGCTGCCCGCCCGACAAGCCAGACGAATAAAAGAATCAAGGCTCCATCCATCCTCAGATGGCACTGAGGGTCTGTGCCAGTGATCTCTTCCAGGATCCGCCCGGGCTATTAAAAGTCCGGAGTGTGGGGTCTGGCCTGGAGGAACGGAAGGGCGGACACTGAAGAAGGCGATTCACGTCACAATCGATACAGTACGACCTTTCCGGGCGGCACGGCTACACGGGAAGCACTCACAGAGACACATAATCCCCTGGGGGGGGGGGGGGGAGGTGTGGGGCCTCCCCACGGAACGTCCCGGATCCCGAACAGCAAAACTCGAACAAGACCCCGTGTCGCCCCTGACAGGCGATGCTAACTGGAAAGAGTAACGATCGCAGGCTCGGCTGCTGTGAATGTCATAACTGCGTATACTCGTCGGACGCCTGCTTCCAAATACCCATATAAATCCAGGTCTTTTCTCTGGGACGCAAGCAGCACTGTCCCCTCCAAAATGTATAAGTCAACAAAACATAAGAAAAGGACTATTTGCTTAGCTGCTAATGGAGGGAGCAGCCAATGGCAGAGAATCCCGCAATCCAAATATGTTGCTTATCTGTGCGTGATTTCCGGTTTACGGGAACTGAACCCATCGTTTCGTGCCAGTCTGGGCGACACCGCAATCTTTCCCTCCCGAAGACCCGTCGAAGGCGTGACAGCGCGAGGGCCCCAGTAAATCGATAGGTTACCACGGTGTTGATGTCCCTGCCAAGTCATTAGGAGGGTGGCTTCAAGAAATGCCCGTTAATTAAATCTAATTATTAACGGTTCGCTTCTTTGGCAACACTATGCACAATGAAAACAGAAACACTTTCATTTCTCAGGGAGGCAAACGTGGTCAGTGAAGATGTGGTGTTTGATGTGTAAACACCTCCACTGGGATTGTATCATATTTACAGACATACTAGACCAGGTAAAGGTCAGACTTGTTTGACTTCTCCTTCAGGTAACTCGTCTGGCCTGTGTGGTAAGATTAGGAGTAGCTGACCTTTACAAAGTAAAAATGGTTAGCCTGCTCCCTGGAAAAAGAAAATATATAATAAAAAAAAATACATAACCTCAGCCCTTATACTAACTGTACCGAGGATCGCAAGGTGAGAATGAACGGCGACCGCCTACGTGATTCCCGCCTACACGAAATAAAAGTTAATTGACCGATTAACCAATTAAGACGAAAGTGCGCGTTTGCGTGAATCTCCAGTAAAATGAACTGAAAATTTACACTAGAAATTGTAGTGAAATGGGGTAATAACAATAATTTAAAACATTTACATCTGCGCCGCGATCGCTGGCGCATTACGGGCTGGACAAGCACGGGCACCACTGTGATCCGAGCATGCGCTCGCCGAAAGCGCCCCAAGAAACGCGCTCCTCTCTATTAATAATAATAATAATAATAATAATAATAATAATAATAATAGTAAGAATAATAATATAAAATGCTTCTCATTTATTACTAATGACGTATGCATCCCAACTTCGGATACGGCGTCTTGTGCCCGCTTTCATGTTTAACCGCGCCGTTATTGATGCCTTGCCCTCCGGTACCCGCTGGTCCTTCTGCGCGCCCGGGGCCGCCGGGGGGCCGCAGAGGCACAGTGAGCGGCCGCGATCCGGCGACACCCGGGAGTCGCACGCCGACCTCGCCGTTCCGGCTACGGGGGTGTGTGCCGGCAGAAGGGGGTCGGCAAAGTCGGGGAGGGGGGGGGGAGTGACACGGCAATGCGATCAAACGGGCCAGCCTGGCTCCATCCTTTGCAGATTCAGTAGGTTTTCTGTGTGGTTGCGCCAGTATTTAATTTAATCCGTGGTACGAACAGACAGCTGCATTAAAGGCTAGACGTCTATTGCGTAAAATAAAAGCTATTTTCTAGTTTGGTGTCTTTTTTAAAAGAATAAAATGAGGGGAGCATTTTAGGGCATCGCAGACGGAAAAGCTAATACGACGACGACCCCAAGATGCCGAAAGCTGCAAATACCGTGTTTCTGCGCAATGCACAGTGCAATTGCTACATCTGGGAAATCACACCTCGGGTGAGCCTACAAATTATATCATAAACAGCAGTTTTTATAACGTAAAAAATGGCCATTCGGTGTTTTTTTTTACCCAGGTGGCGGCGTAGCATTGAGAAACGAACAAGAAAGCTTCTCAACAAGGATAAAATGCACATATAATAGGTCAACCGAATTGCATCCTCTCAAATATAACATCACCAGCAGGCATCAACATGAACAACGTAAACGTAAACATTTTTTCATAAAGTTATTACTGTGTCCTTTTACCACAACTGCAAATGCAACCTTAAATTAACCCAAAATACAGAACATATCCTGGTGCTTAGCACACAGAATAATGTCTCAAGCCTGGCGATCATCATGGTAATGCGACAGTTATTTAAGTATAAAATGCATAATACCAATTACAGATACTGATTTAAAAATCATTTGCATTCCCAACGTATTCCCATCCTTATTTTTAAAGTTGTGAATAAATGTTGCAAATGTATTGAACCACGCTGTTGTTTACGGGGACATGAGTGTTAACTGGTCTCAGATTGTATTTCCCCTGTTTAACCATAAGGAATCAGCCCGAAACTTGTTCCCGATCAGAATAAGTTAATCGCCGCCTTTTGCCAGGGCGTGTATTTTTTAGGTTGCGCATCCGACGCGTTCGATGCCCAAACGGTGCGGCGAAGACCTACCGGCGGCCACAGGCAGGAACAAACCCTGCAAGAGCCGCGAAACTCGTGCGAAAAGCAACAGCAGCCGATCCAGGACGGACTTTTGACACAATGTACCACAGGGGGGGGGGGGGGGCTGCAACATCGCGGGCAGATACGTGCGGGGAATGCGCGCGACTGCCCGGTCCGCCACGCTCCAAAGCTGCGTTTGCGCGGAAGTGTTACGGGTCGGACGCTTGCAAAGTTTCAAGCCGCGCTTTACCTTTTAGAAGGATCCCGCAGAGGCTGTAGAGGGCGAAGAGCAGATGCTGTTTGAGGATCATATTCTTCTCGGTTCCTTCAGCCGGCCGCGCGGAGATAACTGGGCTTCGCGTCCTCTTCTGCCTCGTCCCTCCGTACGCAGGCGAGTCTATCCAGGTGAGGCTTCCCCTATCAACAATAGGCTCCTCTCCAGCGATGAGCTGCGCTTCCTTCGTTCAGGGTCCCGCCGATCTCCGAGGTGCCGCTGCCGCTGCGAGCCAATTGCGAGCGTCGGGAAGCCGCTTCTGCAACAGAGCGCTAAAAAAAAGTGCAGCTTTAGCTTTTCTCGCCTCTCGGGAGCGACTGCCGGCAGAGTCCCGCCCCCGCACACTGACAGATGAGGGCGCTCGACCAATAGCGGCCCGTCCGCAAAATATTCAGGCAGCTGCGGCTTACAAATGCAGGGGACCGCCCGGCGAGAGGGGGACAAGGCGGACAGCGGTCCGCCGACGTTTAGGGGTAGATGGCCGCAGACTGGCGTGTCTAATGGCCAATTCCAGCCTGCGATCCCTAATCGGAGCTAAATGCAGCGCCCGTTGCAGCAGCCGGTCCTGGGAGAAATCTCACGCCTTCCTGTGGTCTGGTAGCTCCTGGGGGATGTTAACCGTGCGAGGGGTAGAGCGAAGCAGCGCTTCACCGTAATGGTACTGAATGGACAGCAGTCGGAGTCTTAAAACGTTCCGAGAACCAGCCGATCGGACTACAACTTTAATTTAGCACATATAGTATGAACTGCATCAATATCGATATATTTCAAAGTGAAGTTACGCTGTCAACGTTAAAAATGTCTATTATTATTATTATTATTATTATTATTATTATTATTATTATTATTATTATTATTATCGGACCTTGGAAACATAATCGAAAGCGTTGCGTTTTGAAGTCCACAAAATTTGACTGGATGATATTGCATTGATATTCTATTTGAATATTGTAGATGTTCTTTTTAAGAACTTTCATGTAACGTGGTTTACATACATCAGAAACTTTCACTCAGCTTAAACGAGGTCTTACCATGTATTTATTGGCGCCCCGGTCTGGAAAACTAAATAACATTACAAACAGCCACATCTTATATATCCATCATATGCTTACTGTTTAATTCAGTTTCATTATACACCCATTTTATAGTGCTTATTTGTACATTCCTACACACACAGATTTCATGAGACGCAGATCTTTGTTTTAAATGATATGATCGTATGTGCTTTGCATTGAGTTTGTTGCTCGATAATTTTTGGCTGTGTCCTTACTTTGCGTGCCCGTCTGTAGTGTTTAGGAATATCCTGATAAAAACAGATTTGTTTTTCTGCGTTGAAGAGAAGGCTGATCACACTATCAACTGCTATTTCTGTTTCGCCGAATGGGAAAGGAAAAAAGAGGAATAATCATGTAGTTATACATCCCTGCCACCAGGTGGAATTTACGTCTTAACAGTGTATGTGCACTTCAGCATAAGTGGAAATGCATGATTTCGTTTTGGTGGCAGAGTGTTCAGGAAATGATGATGACACTGAGGGGCGAGCCAGCTGCCCGATTTTAGGTCCATGGTCACTTGTCAAGAGCTCAGCAGGTGTATACCAGCCTGCCGGGGCAGTTTGGTGTGTTTAAAGCTGGCAGAGAAAATCACAGCTTAGTGGTGACTTCTATCACCACACAAACGGTGACTCCGACTTGCTGGCCAGGCTCTGCGGGGTGTCTTTTGCCCCCCTTTGGGGGCACAGTGGCATTCAAGGAGCTGTGGGAAGAGAGCGGCTTTTCCCTGTATCTCACTTACGCTTCCTGTTTTGTGCGATCCCACTGGGGTCTGGGTCTGTTGCTATCCTCCGCCACCCCCCTGGCCCTCGAATCCGGCTGTTCCGTGGGGCATTAATGCCACCTCCCCGCTGACCACTAGCCGGCAGTCTCCGTATTCCGGCATTCCTGCTGCCCGCCCGTGTTCACCGTCCAGTAAACAAGCAGCATTCACTGCGTCTCCGTGGGTACCACCATTGAGTGACACCTCACAATGGTCTGAACACCTAAGTCTGTTATGCTCCATTTTCTTTCTTTTTTTTTAAAATTTAATTTTACAAATCGTTGCATTTTTAAGTGACATCTCCAGTATCCTTTAACCAGTAAATGCAGACGCTGATAAGGTGTTGGATCCGTGCCTCAGTCAAAAGTCCCTCTAGTGGGACTTAAACCGATGACCTTCCGACTGTGAGCTCAGCTTCAGCCTCCCACCCGCTGAAAGGCTATTAGATGGTGTGGCTGATCTCATTTAGCACATGGGCCAGGCTGGGTTCAAGGTGCCCCCTCTTACCCCCCCCCACGAACACCAGCCTAAGCCCAGAGAACTGGCTTTGGCTTATTTGAGGGTGGGGGAAGCCAGTTGGCCATCTGAAATGCCTGCAAGGCAAACCTCTCCACCCACCCCCATTAGAAAGTGAGCTGGCAAAGCCAACCAGGGCTGCCTCAGTACCAGCTGAAATGGTGACACGGAAAACGTGCCTGGATGTCGCGCCCAGAGCTCGGCCCATCCGGTGGCAGCTGTGTCACTCCGCTGTGTCGCCTTCTACTTTCTCTTTTTCCCCCAAACTTTTGGATCCTAACCCTTTAATTTTATGATTACGTTTTTCTTTTCAGTATTTTTCCCGCTTGCTTTCCCTTTTATATATGCTCTGTCAGTCTGTATATATTTTACTAATTTAGCTTTTTTTCCTGCAGTTCTGTTTTAGTTCATATAAGTGCTTATTTTTCCAAACATTTGCTAAAAAAAAAACAAATCTCCCAGATGTTGCTTTATTACTGTACACACATGTTGTTGATTGCATATTGATTTCAGCTGTGTTTTTACTAACCCCTTACCCATCAATATATTATGGGACTTTGCTTTGAAATGTTTAACTGTCTCCATGATTGTTGCCTAACTTTATGGCTGATTGATATTACTGGAGGCAAAATAAAAGGGGGAGGATTAAAACAGGGCAAGACTTTCCAGTCATGTACCTTTTCCAGTCATGTACCCTTTCCAGTCATGTACCTTTTCCAGTCATGTACCTTTTCCAGTCATGTACCCTTTCCAGTCATGTACCTTTTCCAGTCATGTACCTTTTCCAGTCATGTACCCTTTCCAGTCATATACCTTTTCCAGTAGGCAGACATTTATTTTCTGTTGTCTTCAGAAATTCTTTCACAGTGTTTAGGGAAGCTTCTCTAAATCAGGTCAACTGTGCATGTGCAATTATTTATCACCGTCATCCCATGTGGGTGGCAATTATATCACCGCACTATTTGCGAATGAAATTTCAACAGCATCTTGTATATGAGTCCCTCCGGTCACATGACATTAGACTCCACTGATGGAACGTAAGCATGCATTTCTTTTGTGAATGAATCGCGGTCTTTCCGCACGATTCTCTCAACCACGTGGGCTCGCTCATGCCACGGCTGGCACACGCAGAGCCGGAAAGAGATAGTGCTCTTTATGAGGAGGGTGTTGAAACAGACAGCCTGTAGGGGGCATAGTGGTTCGGGGCACTGAATATGCAGACTGCAGGTAGAGGATTTGAATGAGTTTGTGGATACTGCTATGGAACCGTACCATTAAGATCTTATTAATATTAAACTTCAAAGTACCACAGCATGTAAGCTGGTCTTCAGATCACTGTCTTAAGGCAGATAAGTAAGACCACAGGTGTGCATTTAACACTAAGAGGCAGCTGAAAAGGACTGGGAACCGGCAGTGCTTCCATTGCGAGGAACGGCCCGTCCTCTCGCCCTTCATTTGTCGCCTGCAAAACCGTTGCCGTCTCGACCTGAAAGTCAAGCGAAAGCCTCATTCAGCCAGCCTGACCGTTTTACCAGCAAATCCTTTAACTTCCTCCTGTGTTGCTGTAGTAACATATTGTGATTGGTTCGGCGAGGACTGTGGAAAAAAACCTGCCCCAGGCAGCTCCGTGCATCGGCTGAAAACATCACACAAGCCATTCTTTCATGTTCCGGTGCTAATTATCTAAATAATCTGTGCTGGCGTTTCCATATATATATGCATTTTTTTTCCAAAGACGTCACCAAAAATTATCACTTAGGATTTAGAGTTTCTAAAGCTATGAATTATGCCGTAAAAGGCCACCTACCCCTCAATTCAGCATGCAGCAGTAAGAATCTGAACCTCTGGGGGAATTCCAATTAAGGCCGTATTTGAAAGTCATTCTCTTGACAAAGGCAGCGTTAACGTGCGCATTTAAAGACACAGTTTGACGCCACAACCCTGACATCAAAGCGCAAGCCCCGTCTGAGGGAATTCGTGAGCGATTAACATCAAAAGCTATATGCCACCGACTCATTAAAACGACTCAGCAAATTGGGCGGCGTCCTTTGTTTTTCGCTGAGGATTCCTTGGGACATTTCTGAAGTTCAGCTCTCAAAAACAGAACATGCGGTACTCTTACGATGGCACGTGTCTTTCCTCAAACTAGGATGATGTGGAGAGGGGGGATTTATGAAATGAACTATAATCTGGGCCTTAAAAATGGATTGAAAATGAATTGTAAGTGGATTGGAAGTAGATTCCACTACAAAAATCTCCATTCTTATGGGCTGCTACATTTTTTTTTAAATGAAAGCATTGATTGACAACAATAGTCAGTTTTTTATATATTTATTTTCCACTGGTGTTGTGTTTGTTAGACACTCTGGTCTGACGTTGTTCTAAAGATAAGTAGAACATCAGCTCTCCTATTTATGGAGATAATATAATATAATTTTTCTGCATTCTTGCTTTATTGAGCTGACGCTCGGCAGTGAGTTAGGAATGAGAAGGCACATATATATACAGCAATAGATATTTTCAAAGGGAGTGTGTTTGCCTTGTTTCAAATACAGGACGTTGCCAGGACTTTGAAGATGAAGTGGATGAGAAAATGTGATGGATAGCCACTCTCGAAACAGATAGAGGGACATCGTGTCAGCAACGGAAGAGGGAGGGAGGCAGACAGGTGTGCGGCTGCTTTGCGTTTCATGTTTGCAGATAGGAAACACCAAAGGTACCACCTGAGTGTCAAACACGCCTGTCTAGATGAGAGCGGAAAATAATTTCTTTTTTAAAACAACCCACAATGCAATGGGCAGATAGGCATCGCTTGGCGGAACCGTAGCCTAGCACCTGAATTCGGGTTTTCATTCCGAGGATGTCAGCCTCATCGGTTAAGGCTAGCAAGTCGAGAGAGGTCCATTTTCCTTTTGTCCTGATGAATCATTTATAGGGAGCTGTCTCCAGCACACACAAGGAACTCAACTCAGCCGGCCAGGTCCACCACTGTCCTGTCGCAGCTGATTCTTACTTGCAGGCAGGCA